GCCTTGCCAATACCTTCTGGAATGCTGGCCCTACCTACTACGGTGCAGAAGAACAAGCCACGAGACCCGACTACCTCGTTGTTCCTCAAGGGCTACTGCAGAATCTTCAGACATGCGGTATTTGGTGGAAGGCAGCGAAAGCAGTTCAGCAGATCAAGGACAACGTGCCAAGGGACCACGTGCCACTCATCGCCAGCGCCGAGGTCGTCATGCCCAACAATTTCACAGACATGCATCGCACGCTCTGGGATTTCGACAAAATGGCTGAGTCTCTGCAGACTGGAGCTTATCGCAGCGAGTTCATCCCAGCCCCAAAAACCGCGCCGGCGAACAACACAGATACCATTCGTGAGCTCCAGGAGCAGTGCACCACAGACGCGCACTGGCAGTTCCTGATCGACACGCTCAAGGCCACTGCCAAGCCCTTCTTCGAGAGGAAACATAAAAAAGCCAGGTACCACCAAGCAGCTCATGGCAGAGAAGCTCGAACTTTTGGGGAAAAGAGAGAGAGAGAGAGGAGTTACGCAAGCAGTACATTGGCGAAGCGATCGACCTGGACATCGAGGAGAAGCTGGACACACCCACGAGAGCTATCAAGAAGCAGAAGCAATTTCACGACGCAGAACGCAAGAACGCAAGAGAACGTTAGAGACACAGTTTTTTGAGGCATGGCAAAAAAGGCAGCACGCAGATACACATAGACTCAGCAGGCGCGTGGCAGGGACCAATTACGGCAAGAGGAACCGCAACTACAGCAGGGCAACCCGTTCGAGACCGAGCCTCGCCGAGTGGACTTCGCACGTGGCACTCACAGGGGCTCGCGGAGGTGTTCAAGCTCAACTGATTGACTACGAGGAAAAGAAAAAACTGCTCCTGTCCGCCATGGAGGACCTGGGCGACGATGTCAAGCAGCAGTTCAAGTACGAGTATTCCGAGGCGAAGGAGAACTTGGGCAAGCTATACCTCGGAGTCAAGAGGCGCCCGAAATACTTCAAAAAACGAGCCTCAGTTCCCGAGTGGTCGTTACCAGCAGAAATGTTCCAGATCACCCTGCAGCCTACAGCTACTACAAAGAGAAAGCCGCAGACCCAAGGCCTCGGTTTCAACGAGGAGCTGATGGAGGCGCCCTGGACAGACAACTGTTTCGAAGGGCTACTCGGTCATGTCTATCTGGTCGGCTTAGCTCCATTGGACGCCCATCACAGCCAAAGTTTCACGCCAGACAAGATGAACGCCAAGCCCTCAGTTCAAGGATTGCGTATACTGCACATGGTCTGTCCATTCTGTCGCTGCGTGTACCGTCAACTACAATGCCAGTCACTGCCGTGGGCACCTCCTCCTCATGCTCACGGATGCTGGCCACGCCGCCGCAGAGAAGTTCCAATGGCTGCATCGCGCATCATGGCCACCAGATTGCCGCGCCCCAACATCGATTTCATCGTTGGCAGGATGGACGCCACCAACGCCTTCCCGAGCACGATGATCGACAAAGCGGTCGAGCTTATCCCGCAGTGCTTGGCCGACGCAGAACAGCGGTTGTCTGCCCAACGGTATCGCTGCGCTACGGTGCAGATAGACGGATGCGACAAGTCTGGAGATTTCTCTGTAGGTTCAGGAGTGATGCCTGGCTGCAGCACAGGACCCACCTCATTCAACTTTGTCTACGAGCAGCCAATCGGCCAGTGGCTCGACGCGACCCTATCAGACTCCAAGCCGTTCGCTACCATCTCCCCCATCACGCACAACATGATTGACCTCTCGGCCTACCTTTACGTTGACGACATACTCAAAAATACACATTGCCAGCAGAGGTACAGCCAAAGCAGCAGCAGATATCCTCAACTCCAGCAACACCATCCTCGATGACAAGCTCGCGCAGTACGGCTACTCGCAGAACAAAGACAAGGAGGAAATTGCTGGATGCCTTCGCACACGGAAAGAAAACCGCAGCCTCGCAGCCCACATGCCAGGTCGAGTTCTACGCACCACGAAGTACCTCGGAGGTCACTTCCATCATGGAGGAAGTAACACGATAGAGATTGACCGCCGCATTCAAAGTATGAAGAAGGCCTGGGCTATCATGGGCAAACTCTGGCACAGGCGTGCCCCATGGCGTCTCAAGCGCATCATCTTCATCAACCGCATAGTGGGCGCCGCGGCCAGTGGCATGGAGTCCTACCTCATCAAGGACACCGAGCTGCGCAGGTTGGACACCACAATCATCAAGTATCTCAGGGTGCTCATGCATGGCAAGGCTACTACGCAGCAGGACGACGGACGCTACAAGAGCATGACCAACATAGAAGTGTTCAAGTTCTGCGGCATCTCTCCCATGTTCGTCGAGATGCGTGTAAGGCACACTCGCATGACCCAGGCCTCTGTCAAGTACCGCGCCGACTACGACCAGTGGATCACTGCCCTCTTCGGCACACCGCAGTTCGAGAAGGACATCGATCCTGATGCAAGCGAGCCCAACGACGACGGCACTCTCAAAGACAGCGCCAACCAGTGGGCTTGGCAATTCTTTCACGATGCGAGCTCGCTCCTGGTACTCGACAGCGCAGAGCAAGTCAGCTACATCTGGGACGGCAGCATTACCCAGCTTTATCACGACGCAGAGGTACCAGAAGCATTTCTCAGCATTGACCCCTCCGAGTTCAGGGACAAGGCTACAGCCGTCGCTATCCCGCCACCCGGCTTTGAGGCCGCTGCTGAAGTACGGGATGGCGACGAACTTGGACAATTCAAATGCGAGTTGTTGACGGACACAGGTGAAATCTGCGGGCGTGTATTTCAAACGTGGGCGGGTCTCTGTTCGCATCAGACAGCTACCAAAGGTGGTCAGCACGGGTTACGTTCCGCAGCCGCTGCAGCTACAGTCACTAATCAGTGCCCGCTGTGCCGCACGACCTTCTTGGACCGTGCTCAAGCCGAAGATCATCTGCTGCGCTCACTAAAGGACAAGAGATGCCTCGCTGACAACACGCGCCTACATCATCCTTTGATCGACGTCGACGATTACACATGCACTCTCTGTCCCGAACTGCAGCCGTTTCAGCATCTATCAGCCTTGCGGGATCATTTTCGCGCATTACACCTACCTGTCGAAGAACATATCATCTCACTGGACGTGGGGACCACCACTGCTCAGCTAGCACTTGCACATGCCGATGACCTGGCTTGTGCCCAACAAAAGGCAGATCGCGCAGGACACCAGCAGCCTCGCGGGCTCAGAGCGCAGCCAAAAGGACCGCAAGCTCAACAACGGCAAGAAGGGCGGCAAGGGCGGGGGCGGCAAGGACAAGGACAAGGAGGGCGCGGGCGAGGACACAGCGGCCATGGAGGCCGAGGACGATCCAGTTACGGGGGGAGGACCAGCCACAGCAGCAGTTCAAGGGGCCCGAGCAGTTCGTTCCAAGAAAGGGGGAGAAGCTTACCGTGCCAAAGTCGACCCCAAGCTCAAGAAGCTCCTCACAGTACTCATCAAGCAAGTTTTCGCCAACACGCAGCAGCTGGCTTGGATAATGGCAGCGGTGTTCAGCACGCACCTCTTGCCCATTCAGAACAACGTGGCCAAGGCCCTCAAGACCAGCCGCAAAGTCTACGCGGAGAAGTGCAGGGAACAGGGCAAAGCACACGCTTTAGGGCCACCAGAGGGGCATCTCTACATGACACTGATTATGACCCTCTGTTCAGAGGACGTGGGAAACAAATCGAGGGCGCTACTCACGGAGCACGGCCAGTTCCTGGACAAGATCAACGCAGCGACGGTACTACGCAAAGTCAAACACATCAAGCTCAGCAAGTGCTTCGACTCCAACCAAGCGAAGCTCACGCTGTACATCGAGCAGGGCCCTTGGACGGACGCGGAGAACGAGGAGGATCCGACGCAGGAGCAGATGCAGTGGACCAACATCAAGGACACCATCCACCGAGCACTACTTCAGATTGGAGCAGTGGCCAAGGAGGGCAAAGCACCAGCGGGAGTCATGGAGGATGAGCTGGCTGCCTGGCTCGCAGGACTATGAATTTCTATGGAGGCCGACTATCTACGCCATGGTCGGTATCAAGCTCGGCGTGCGCGACGCCGTGAGCTGAGTGAAGGCGCCCGCTCCGTGCGGGCGACGGCGGGGGCCAGCGAACGAGGCACACGCCAGACTCCGCCCCCCGAGGCCGCTCTTCTTCTTCTTCTTCTTCTTCTCTCCTCCTCCTCCTCCTCCTCTCCTCCTCATCCTCCTCCTCCCCCTCCTCCTCCTCTCCTCCTCTCCTCCTCGTGCTCCTCCTTCTCCTCCTCCTTGCCCTCCTCCTCCTCCTCCTCCTCCTCCTCGTCCTCCTCCTCTTCCTCCTCCTCCTACTCTTCCTCCTCTTCGTCCTGAAGACCCCCCGCGGCACCGCAGGTGGGCAACCGCGCGAGCGGGTCGCGGCAGGGAACTCCATCCCCCACAGCCTCATCCCCGCCTCCCTCCCCGACAGGTCCAAGCGTCGCGGCGCAAGGAAAACATCGCGGAGAAGCCGCGAGAAGAGGGAAGAGGTTGTACAGAATCGGTGTGCCTGCGGTTGGTTGGCAAGTGTGTGGTTTCTGGGCGTCCCCGCCTTTGTGCAGAACGTTGATGACTGTGTGTCGCCAGCTGGTCGGTGTCGGGGAACCAGGCGTGATGCTATTGTTGCACATGTCTAGAAGCACGGATCGAAGCATATCCCCTCCTGATTTCAACATTCTGCAGATATTCCAGGATAGTCGAAAGCTCTGTTGGATAGTAGATCTCGTAAGGCCGTCTCCAGCTCGCCACGCGTAAACTGCGGAAGTGTGTCTTGTTATTCGTGGTTGCCACTGTGGCTCCCTGAGTTGTCGGTGCATACGCTATCGTTTTGAAGTCGTCGTAGGCCTCCGCAAATACGTCTGCTATGGATTGACGGGCATGCTGTGTACTTCCCTCCTCGCCTGTCACGCTCGTGGTAAGAATATCGGAGAACGGTCGCCATAGTGATAATGAACGATAGTCCTCATCATCGACACCGTCATCGGCAGCCCGATCACAGCGACCATGGGCGGATAGACTGGCCTCGCCTGTGCCAGGCACGCACAGGCCACGTGGGACCGCGCAGCAACGGTCCCGCGGCTAAGTAACCGCGTCTTCGGGGAAACGACAAAGCACCGATACCGCTGTAAGACGAGGCCAGGACAAGGAAAAAATAGGATAGAGGTAAATCCGGAATCTCTGAAATCTGGCAGTTCTGGAGGATGTGTCGGGCGCCGCGGCATTCCCAAAGCGTTCCAGGCGCCCTGAGAGCGTTCCAGAACGCTCTGGAACGATCTATCCCTGTCCCAGCCCCGCCCGACACTTCTCCCTGGACCGGAGAATCCAGCCGTGGCGACGAGGGCTCTCCAGGGCCCCTGAGATCCGAAGTCGCGACAAGAGATACACCATCGTCGAAAATCAGGACCTGAACCCTCCCTAGACACCATCGTTCTGCTGCATTTTTCGAGCCAGATCGATATGTTGTGGTCCTGATGCCCGAAACTGGGCGAAAACGACCGGCGTGAAAAAACTGCAACGCCCAGATCTCAAGGACAAACAGCGGTATCGGTATCTCCTCTGAGTCCTGGCTACGCGTTCCCCCCGCTCGGGGACAAAAAACAAAAAGCTGGCGTCGGGGCCGAGCCCCAAGCAGCGAGCCAGCCCTCTCGCAAAACGGCACATTCGGGCCGTGGGCGAACGGGCTGGCTGAAGCTCCAGCGAGGGAAGCGCGGCGCGGCCAGCCCGCCGCCCCCGCTTCGAGGCTCGAGGACCGAGGCTTGTGCAAACTGGCCTCCCAGACGCACGTCGAGGAGGAGGAGGAGGAGGAGGAGGAGAAGAAGAGGAGGAGGAGGAGGAGCGGGAGGAACAGGAGGAGGAGGATGAGGATGAAGACGGAGGGAATGAGGAGGGGGAGGAGGAGAAGGAGGAGATTGAGGAGGAGGAGGAGGAGGAGGAGAAGAGGAGGAGGAGGAGGAGAGGAGGAGGAAGAAAAAAGGGAGAGGAGGAGGAGGGGAGGAGGAGGAGGAGGAGGAGGAGAGGGAGGAGGAGGAGGAGGAGGAGGAGGAGGAGGAGGAAAGAATAAGAAGAAGAAGAAGAAGAGGGGAAGGAGGAGAGGAAGAGAGGAGGAGGAGGAGGAGAAGGAGGAGGAGGAGGAGGAGGGGAAGGAGGAGGAGAGTGAGGAGGAGGAGAGTGAGGAGGAGAAGAGGAGGAGAAGGAGGAGGAGATCGAGGAGGAGGGGAGGAGGGAGGAGAAGAAGGAGGACGAGGACGAGGAGGAGGAGGGAGAAGGAGGACGAGGACGAGGACGAGGAGGAGGAGGGAGGAGGAGGAGGAGGAGGAGGGGGGGGAGGAGAGGAGCAGGAGCAGGAGCAGGAGGAGGAGGAGGAGGAGGAGGAGGAGGAGGAGGAGGAGGAGGAGGAGGAGGAGGGGGGGGGGAGGAAGAGGAGGAGAAGGAGGAGGAGGAGAAGGAGGAGGAGGAGGGGCCCTGCTGCCGTCAGAGACTACTCAATGTGCAAAGCCAGCCTCGGGGAAGGGGTCGAGAGGTCTGGGGGCCCACGCCACCAAAAAAACATAGCGTCGAAAAAGATTGAAGAATCGTGGGCCAGCTTTCAGGCACTTCCTCGAGCAAGGGCAAGGCAAGCCCTGCCAGCGAAGCCTCGCGCACGCGCAGGGGGGATAGGGAAACCAGACCAGCTTGCCTGAAGGTACCGAAGAGATGCTGGGCCAAGGCAAGCAGGCGGAGGTCTCCTGATGATCGGCGCAGCTGCACGCGAGGCAGAATCCTGCCATTGCAGTTCTCGACGCAACATCCCGCCCCCTCCTTCATCTTGTTCGTTGTCAGTGGATCCTCCCTGTCGCAACCCCAGGACGTGACGGCAGGGCGAGCCTCACAGCTTATGATCCTGAAGCTTGCAAGGTGCAGCAGCTCCAAGGATCGAGGGCGAGTCGTTTTCAAAATGAAGCTCTCGCCCCCGCGCCGCGCACCTGAGTCATAAAAGTATACAAACAACTTCAACGATGGAGGGCGGCTCCGTCTCAAAATGGTGTTCTCGCCCCAGTGCCGCTCACACTCGTGAGAACAGACCGCAGCAGTTACAAGGTTGGTGGGCGGCTTCTTTTCAAAATGGGCCTCTCGCTCTGGAAATCTGCAACGAAGACGACCAAAGACTTTAACGAAAAATACGACTGCACGGATGGACGGTGGTCCCTTTGCAAATGTGGGCGTTCGCTTGTTACCGGCTTAACATTGAGACCAGCTCAGTGAACCGACCTGCATATGCAGGTACTGCTCCAACTGTCTGAACCATATGCATGCACGTGTACATGTTCACATGCCTATATACAAAAACCAGAATTCTGCCATTACACATCCATATACATACACCTATACATGTACACATGCAGATGCTTACACAGATGTATCTATGTACATGCGTACACATATAATATATATATATATAGAGAGAGAGAGAGAGAGAGATCGGAGGTTGAGAGGTGAGTCAGACGTGAAACGGAGACCCCCCCTACCGGGAAATCGATTTCGGTTTAGGGTTCGTGTCGTGCGTGCCGTGCGTGCGTGCGTGCGTGCGTGCGGGCGAGGCGAAGCTGCGTGGGCGGGCGAGAGAAAATCCTCCTGTGGCTGGGCCGCGGCCAGACCAAATGTTTCTCCTCCGGCGGCCGGTGGCCCGCGGTGTCCCGCCGGTGTCCCGCTGGTGTCCCGAAATCCTCCTGTGGCTGGGCCGCGGACGGACCAAATGTTTCTCCTCCGGCGGCCAGTGGCCCGCAGTGTCCTGCCGGTGTCCTGCTGGTGTCCCGAAATCCTCATGTGGCTGGGCCGCGGCCAGACCAAATGATTCTCCTCTGGCGGCCAGTGGCGCGCGGTGTCCCGCCGGCGTCCCGCTGGTGTCACTTTTTCCCATTGCTGCCCCCCCCACCCTCTTTATCACCCGCAGGGTGGTCGTATAGGTGTCTATATATATATATATATATGTATATATGTATGCGTGTGCGTGTGCGTATGAGCATACGTGTATATATATATATATATATATATATATGTGTTATATGTTGTTGTAATCATCTTTACAAATAAATGAATAATTCAGCTGAACGGGTGGGGGTCGGCTACTTTTCAAAATGGAGCTCGCGCTTGAGACGCCCTCCACGCCCATGCCCATGGCCCAGTGAAAACGCGTGCAAGATTGACACAGCCGGGGGCGACTTCCATAACGAGGAGATCGCTGGACACCTCGCTGAACTGTATGGTCATACCTTTGCGCAGCCCTCACTACTCGCTAGAAGGATGCAAGGCGGTTCCTTTGCAAAACTGGGAGATCGCCTGAATGACAGGCCTCTAGGGTGCTGGTCTTTCAACAAAAAGGCACTTCTACAAATGGAAAAGCAAGGTTCGTACGGAATACACGAGGGGGGGGATTGGGACGGGAAGGTGTAATGCAGCATCGCTAACCTTGGGTCTCCTCTGGTCCTCCTCCTCCTCCTGCCAGGCCTCGTTTCAGAAAGGGCTGGTGGTACTGGCCCACCAGCGAACGCCAGAGTCATGGTGTGGGCGGAGGTTGCGCAAGCCAAAAGTAAACTCTTAGCGAACGGGATGTAAGGAGCCGCACTAATAGAAGTTGCATCAAAGCAACGACCACTGCATCAAGAATCGAGGATTCTCGGGGCTGTGAGGCTCGAGTGGAGCCTAAGAATGGACTAGAGCCGGCGAGACGGGCAAGGGCCTAGCGAGACTGATTAGGTGCACCCCCCAGCATGCCACTGGCGGCTCGGAGGCACTCACCGCGAAGGCGAGCACACTGCCAAGCAGCAGCAGCTCATAAGATGGCTTCAGGCGGGGTGCCTTTCTCTCTCAATTCTCTCTCTCTCTCTCTGCCTGTAAACTCTTTCTCTCTTTCTTTCTCTCATCCTCTCTCTTTCTCTTTCTCTTTCTCTCTCTCTCTCTCTCTCTTCTCTCTCTCTTTTGTTATCTGTCTCTCTCTCTCTCTTCCTTTCTCTCTCTCTCTCTCTCTCTCTCTCTCTCTCCCTCCCTCTCTCTCTCTCCCTCTCTCTCTCTCTCTCTCTCTCTTCTCGACAGTTCCAAAGAGCACAGTCCGCCTGGAAGGAATTCCACCAGGCCTTCCGCACGCCTGCTTTCCCTGGGGCCACTCTCCAGCACAATCTGCCGGCGCGACCTGCTGCCCACCGCTGGCGCACCAGTGCCACATTTCAGTCGGGCCCGTCCCTCTACAGGAGGAATATTCAAAAGTAGCCTGGGGACTATTTTCTGAATATTTGTTTGCGCCCTTTGGGAGCATGTTTTGCATATGCTTCATTTTTCGTCGAAAATCTCCGACAGGCCCGACCTTATGCTAGAACAACACCTGTCTGTCGTTCGTGCCCTGCGAGAACAACACCTGCCAACATGTTCTGTGGACCTGTCAGTGGGCCGCCGAGGGGGACGCCCCAGTGCGGCGCCTTCGTTCCCCAGGGCTCCCTTGGTGCGCCGGCCAACGCGCGCTTACAGCCGGTGCCCCGGTCTTCTCGGGCTTGCAGACTGGAGGCAGCCACGCCCTGATCGCCACAACCCGCTCGCATCTATAGTCGGGGTCACTTTTCGACCGTGCTGGGAGGGAGGTTGCTCCCCACCCCTGTCATTCAAGCGGCCCCTCCCGCCACAAGAGGTGAGCGCAGCGGTCGCTAGTACCCCGCGCGCCCGGACGGACCCCTTTCGCCTGAACTGTTGCGCGCTCTCTCTCACTCTCTCTCTTTCTCCTCCTCTTTCTGTTTCTCTTTCTCTTTCTCTTTCTCGTTCTCTTTCTCTTTCTCTTTCTCTTTTTTTTTGTTGGTCTCTCTCTCTCTCTCTTTCTCATTGTTTCTCCCTCTCTCTCTCCCTCTCTGTCTCTCTATATCTCTCTCTCTCTTCATTTTTTCTCTCTCTCTCTCTCTCTTTCTCTTTCTCTCTCTCTCTCTCTCTCTCTCTCTCTCTCTCTCTCTTTCTGTATATCTATATACTAGAATCACCGCGCAGCTCAGGGTCTCTGGAATTACAGCTCGCATTGAGATGTCGAGGCTTGGGCGACGGTTGTGGATAGGACCTTAGGTCGAAGGCTCTATGGGAACACGTAGTAAACAACCCGTCCCTGAGCACGGAGGTCTCCCGTGAGGACGACGAGGAGGACGAGGGGGGGCGGCTTGGAGGTCGAGAAAGGGGAGAAGAGTCCAGAAGCGACGGCGACGAAGAAGGGGGGCAGAGGGGGCAAAGGGGGGCAGGGAGCAGAAGGAGGCTCTGCCGGAGCCGAGCAAGGCGGAGGACGGCGAGGAGGGGCCACGGGGAGCCCCGCCCAGGCGTGCACCTCCCAGTGGCCTGCGGCCCATCCTGCCGCCGTGCCTGGGGTGCTGATCGGATGCACCTCGGATGCCTGCAGAGGTCTTACGTAGGGGGCCACATGCGAACCCTACCCCTACCCCCCACGATTTCCGGGGGGGAGGGTGGGGTCCACTTCGTTCGGGAGCTCCCGAGCGAAGTGAACCCCACCCTCCCCCGTCAGAAATCGTGGACGTGGAGGGTATGGGGTAGGGTTCACATGTGCCCCCCTATCATGGGCAGCCTCTGGGCAGTTTTCTCGGAAGCAGCTTTGGGGCCAACTGCGGGCCGTTTGGGGGCCTCTTGGGGCCTCTCTTGCGGGTCGTTTGGGGGGGCATGTCGGGTCCTCTTGGGGGGCTCTTGGGGGCCTGCGGGCGGTCCCCTGGGTCCTCTCAGACCTCTCGGGCTCGAGGCCTCGAAATGCGAGGACAGAGAGGAGGGGCCACCGTGCGCCTCGTCCTCGCGTGCCCCTCCTGAAGGCTTTCTGCCCCTCCTGCCACCGTGCCTGAATTGTTTGCGTGAGATCTCTTGAACGCCTGTTCGGGTCTCTGGGGAAGCCCCTGGGCAGTCTCGAGGAGGCAGTTTTGACGCCTCTTGGGGCCTCTCTTGGGGCGCTTGGGGGCCTTTTGGGGTCCGCTTGAGAGGGTTCTTGGGGGCCTCGTGGCGGCCTTTGGGGGTCCTCGTGGGGCGGAGGCCTCCGAATGTGGGTTCAAATTGCCCCCAAAGGGCCCAGTTTGCGGCCCTGTTGGGTGCCTCTTGGGCGGTCCTGGGTGCCTCTTGGGCCGTCTTGGGGCCCTCTTGGGCCGTCTTGGGGCCCTCTGGGGGGACCTCTTGGGTAGTTTTGGAGTTTTCCTGGGGGCCTCTGGGGCCATCTTGGATGCTGCGCACATGAAGACGGCGACTATTGCTGGTGCTGGGTCGAGCCCGACCATCGGAAGAGGAGGGGAAGACGGCGAGTATGCTAGAAATTTGCGCTGTGTTAAAGGAAAGTAGAGGAAAGAAGCGATGTTTGCCTATTCGGGCCCTTTGAAGGTCCTCTTGGAACCGTCTTGGGCCGTCTCGGGGGCATAAGGCCGTCCGAAGCCACGTTGGCCCCGTCTGGGGCCGATTTGGAACGTAACGGGAAGCTTCGGGGGGGCCCGGGGGGCTGGGGAGGCCCCGGGGAGGCCCCGGCCCCAAGGGACGGAGGGGGGGGTACTGTATATCAGGTGCCCCTGGTGTGCTGCGGCAGGGAGGGCCCTGGGGCCCAGTTTCTGGCATATGAGAGAGATGTGCAGATATCATAACCAAACAGTGCCTCCAATTGGAAGTTTCTATTTCTGTTCTAAGGAACTGGGCCGTCTCTTCGGTCTGGCGGCTATGTGGCCGCCGTCGCGGCTCCGTCGCCGCCCGCCGCCCACCGTCTGGGCCGTGTTTTCCGTCTGGCGGCTACGTGGCCGCCGTCGCCGCCCCATCGCCGCTTCGTCGCCGCCCTAGGTTGCACACTAAAAGACTAATAGGATAGACCACCCTCCCCAGACTTAACGGTCCCCTTTTCGTATTGCAATGTGCGTATGACCCTGCCCCATCGCCCATCCTAAAAAATGAGTTCATGCCACGCCAGCCGCGCCAGCCAGACCAACATCGTCTCCCTCATCCTCTGCAACCTAAACTATTCGCGCGCAATCGTTTATCAAAACTCCTCAGTGTCCAAGAACCCCGCGCAACAAATGGGACAATGTGCATACGCGCACGTCGTCGCGCACGCATTCCGAACCCCTTCACCAACTTGGGGTTCGTAAAGACTTCAAAAACGAATGCCCCGAAACTATAAACAGCACGGTCTCCCAGCCAGGCGTTCCACACACACACACACACACACACACACACACACACCAAGAACAAAAACTGTCAATACAAAAAAAACGTGCGCGAACGTTGTTGCGGACCGTTATGTGTATGTATATATATATATATATATATGTGTGTGTACGTGCGATATATATATATATAGAGAGAGAGAGGGAAAGAAAACTTGTTCGCAAAAATGTTCGGCACGTATTCCCAAACGAGCTTCTCGCGCGCATGTCGTCAACGTAAGGACGCCCTTTTGCGCGCGTATTGTCGCACGAACCCCTGTGCAACAGATGGGGCGAAGTGCACACACGTGCGAACGGTCGCGCGAGCATGCCGAAATCCTTCAAAGGCCATGGGTTTCGCAAAACATTCGAAATCGAACGCCCCGAAAACATCCGTGTGCTTTGAAACTGCAAATGCACAACATCAGACTTCAAATCCAAAAATCTCATCTCGAGGTTTTGCGAATCCTAAGGAACACCAGAAGATTTGAGCATTTGCATTGCAGTCTGCCCAACGGGCTTCTCGCGACGCATGTCGAAATCATTCGAGCGCCCTTGCGCGCGCGCGAGGGGGGGCACGATCCGAGTCCACATAAGACCATGCGGGCCACCCTTGCGCGTCGGCCGCGCGCGCATGTCGAACTCCTTCCCAAGCCTGCATCGCCGACGCGAGCACGCCGTCATCGTCGTCGGCGTGATCATCATCGGCGCCGTCGCTGGCCGTGCCCCCGCCGTTGTCACCATCGCCACCAGCATTGTTACTATCATCGTCATGCCTACAATTGACGACGTTGCCATGATACCGCGCCCGCCCAAGTCACCGACTCGCACTGAAGTGCCCGCTGGGACGTGCCCAGAGGTCAGCGCCACCGCGGCCGCGTCGGCCGCGCCAAACTAGCTGGCCACTCTGCGCACGAAAATGCGCGCTAGCGCGGCCGCGGCGATGCGCCAGCCAACGCCGAGCAGTCATCGCAATCACCGCCTCATGGGTTTGCAATCCAAGTTGCCGGCGGGTGCGTGGGGTGATTGCGCGAGCAGTGGAGTTGACAATTTCAAATTCGGCAGGGCGATCGAGACACATAGATTGCACCACGAAGATTGCACCGCAGATATTCTCCTTTCTGACTCGACTCGACACCGCCCCCCCTGATTGCCCGCCCCCCTGTTCGTATCGCAATGTTTTACTATTCTGTCCCATCGTCCATCCTATATCTGAGCCCGTATCATCCCAGCCCGATCGGTATCGACACCCCCCGTCATCCTGTGCAAAAAACTGTGCGCGCGCACTCGCTCATCAAAAGCAACAGATTTCAAGAACCCCTTGGGCAAAAAAAGGAAGTGCACACGCGCGCGCCGTCGCGCGCGCATGCCGAAATCTGTCAAAAACCTTGGGCGCCATAAAGATTTCAGAATCGAGTGTCCGGTGTGTGTGTATATATATAGACATACATATATACACACATATACATAGACATGTATACACACAGTGGTTTCGCAACACAAATTCTCAAACAAAAAACTTGCCCGCACGCTCTGCCGGATTCTTGAGAAAACCATGAATGGCTCAACATGTTCAACAAATTATACGAAACGGGTCTCGCGCGCGCATGTCGAAATCGTTCAAACGCCTTCTCGCGCGTGCTGTCGCGAGAACCCTTTTTCGACCAAAAAAAAACGAAGTACACGCGCGCGCGCGTTGTCGCGCGCGTGCCGAAATCCTTCAAAAACCTAAAAAATGTCGCAAAGATGTGAAAACCGAATGTCCGAAACAATCCAGTTGTCTGTGTTTTTTAACCAAAAAATGATTTGAAACATCCATTTCCAAAAAAAGTGTGCGTTCGCGCTCTGGCGGCCCTTGCAGAAAACCATGAGTTCCCAGCATGTCCATTGAATTCTGCAAAACGGGCCTCTCGCGACGCATGCCGCAATCATTCGAACGCCCTTGCGCGCGCGCGAGGGGGGGGCACGATCCGTGTCCAACAACACCATGCGGGCCACTCTCGCGCGTCGCCCGCGCGCATGTCGAACTCCTTCCAAAGCCTGCATCGCCGACGCGAGCACGCCGTCATCGTCTTCGTCGTGATCATCATCGGCGCCGTCACTGGCCGTGCGGTCGTCGTTGTCATCATCATCATCACCATCATCATCAGCATTGCTACGATCATCATCATGTCTACCGTTGTCGACGTTGCCATGATACCGCGCCCGCCCCGCCCCGCCGACTCGCACTGAAGTGCCCGCTGGGATGTGCCCAAGAGGCAGCGCCACCGCGGCCGCGTCGGCGCCAAATGGCTGGCCGCTGCGCGCGCGTGCATGCGCGGGCTGGCGCGGCCGCGGCGATGCGCCAGCCAACGCCGAGCAGTCATCGCAACCACCGCCTCATGGGTTTTCAATCCGAGTTGCGGGTGGGTGGGCGGGATGCTTGCAAGAGCATGGAATGCGTCAACTCGTTTGCAAAATGCACAACATAGAATCCACCACATAGCTTGCGAAACATAGCTTGCACCGCAGCGGTTGCACCGCATGGGTTGCTCATCGCGTGATGCACCAAATAGAAAGCACGACCTATATTCTCCTTTCTAAAAAGCAAATAGACTCTACCCCCCCCGGCGTTATCCGCCCCCTTTCGGGCACGTAAGTCATAACTGATTATAACCACATGTCCATCCTAAACATGAATTTGCACTATCCCAGGGGGGCCGGTATCGGCCCCCCTGAGGTTCCCTTGTAAAAAAACGATACGCGGGGACACCTTCTGTTCTAACATGACACTTTTTTCACGAATCCCTTACAAAAAAGGAACGAAGTGCACACGCGCGCGTCGTCGCGCGCGCAGGCCGAAATCCTCCAAAAACCTTTGGTGTCGGAAGGATTTCGCAATCGAGTGTCCCAAAAAAACATACAAAAACACAGGGTTTCGCAACACTGATTTGCTAAAAAAGCTTACGCGCGAGCTCTTGCGAAATCTTAAGAAAACCATCGGTTTTTCAAGATGTTCACAAAATGCTACCAAATGGGCTTCGCCCGCGCGCATGTCGAAATCTGTCGTACGCCCTTGCGCGTGTGCCGTCGAGAGAATCCTCTGCAAAAAACGCGACGAAGTGCAGACGCGCGCGTCGTCGCGCGCAGATGCCGAAATCCTTCAAAACCCATCGGCTTCGGAAGGATTTCAAAATCGTGTGTCCAAGCAACCTACAAAACACAAGGTTTCGCGACACGGATTTTCAACAAAAGCGTGCGCGCGCGCTCTTGCGTCGTCGTCGTCCTCGTCGTCGCCGTCCTCCCTCCTCCCGCGTCGTCGTCGTCGCCTACGTCGTCTTCTGTCTTTCCTCGTATTCGTCGTCGTCCTCTTTGGCGTCGTGGTCGTTTCCGTCGTCGTTGTCGCCGTGGTCATCCTTCTTCCTCCTCCCTCGTCGTCGTCGTCATCCGTCGTCGGTGTCTCGTCGTCGTCCCTCCTATTTCGTCGCCGTCGTCGTCGTCGTCGTTGTCGTCGTCTTCCCTCCTCCCTCGTCGTTGTCATCGTCGGCGTCGCCGTCCTTCCTCCTTCTTCGTCGTTCGCGTCGTCGCCGTCCTCCATCCTCCCTCGTCGTTGTCGTCGTTGTCGTCGTTGTCGCCGTCGTCGTCCTCCCTCCTCCCTCGTCGTCGTCTTCGCTGGCGACGTCGTCGTCGTCTTCGTCGTCGTCGGCGTCGACGTCGTCGTCTTCGTCGTCGTCGACGTCGTCGTCGTCGTCGTCGTCGTCGTTGACGTCATCGTCGTCGTCGGTGTCGTCGTTGTCGTCGTCGGCGTCGTCATCGTCGTCGTCGTTGTCATCTCGTCGTCGTCGCGTCGGCGTCGTCGTCGTCGTCGGTGTCGTCGTCGTCGTAATTGTCGGCGTCGTCGAAGTCGTTGGAGACGTCGTCGGTGTCGTCGTAGTCGTTGTCGGCGGCGTCGTCGTCGTCGTTGTCGCTGTCGTCGTCGGCGTCGCTGTCGTTGCCACGTGCCATTTGGTACCCACCGTCACGGTCTTAAGAGAATTTGCAAACCAAGTTGCAGGTGGGTGGGTAGGATGTTTGCGCGAGCAGTGGAGTGGACAACTCACTGCGAACAGAAATTAATTGCACCACATAGATTGCACGTACATTGCACAACATGGAGTGCACCGCATAGCGAGCACAACATAGGTTGTACCACATAGAGCGCACCATTTCGATTACATCACAGATATCGCACAACAGCTATTGAGCCGCATAGGTTGCACCACATGGATGGCAAACCATGTTGTGCACCACATCGGGTGCACAACATACACTGCACCACATACGTTGCACCAGGTAGATTGCACAACATATGTTACACCATCGAAGTTGCATTGCATAGGCTGCACCACTTAGACTGAACCACATATCTTGCACAACAGGTATTGAAACGCATCAAATCTCCCACATTAATTGCACCGCATGAGTGGCACTACGCAGGCTGCACAACACGCCATGCACCACATCGATTGCACCATCTTGAATGCACAACACCGATTATACATCCTGGAACGCACCGCATAGATTGCACCACACTGATTGCACAACCTAGATCGCACCACATAGATTGCACAACATTGGCCGCTAAAAACACAATGTGTGGGGTCCACGCTGGCTAACATAGAATTACATGTGTACCTGTATACGTGTGTGTACCTCTCTTTCTCTCCCTGTCGCTCTGTCGTTCCCCCTTCTGCCCTTGTCTTTCCCTCTCTCTTTCTCTCTCTCTCTCTCTCTCTCTCTCTCTCTCACACTGTCCCTCTTCCCCCCAAGTGACGCTCCCCATCGTCCTTCCCTCCCTCGTTCCCTCCCCCATCTCGGGTGCCTCTGGTATCTCTTTCTCTCTGTCCCTTCCACCAGGATCCTCTCTACGTGCTAGAAGGCAGAAGCGCGATGAGCGTTTGCCCTCGCATCCTCGACTCTTGACCTGGCTGGGCGACACGGGGCACGAGCGTGTGCACCAGCACTATGTGCGCACAAGGGGGCGGAGGGAGGGGGGGGGCTTCCTACGAGGAGGCTGCTTCTCAGAAGGCGCTGGCGTTGCATCTATAGATACGGCCCGAGATAAGAAGCAGGGGTGCTTCTAAGAAGCCCTCCCCCCTCCCCCACCCCCTTTCTGCGCGTGGCTGAGTTCTCCCCCATTGCATGCGCCGCGCTAAGAAGCCCTCCCCCCTCCCCCCACCCCCTTTCTGCGCGTGGCTGAGTTCTCCCCCATTGCATGCGCCGCGCCCCCATCCCCCCGCATGGTCCATCGTTTGTGGGGTTTCTTCTTCGGAGAATCCCAATTCGGTCGCCTGGGCGCCGCTCTCTCCCCTGAATGCGCCGCGCCCCCATCCCCCCGCCTGGTCCATCGTTTTTGGGGCTCGTTTTTCGGAGAATCCCAGTTCGGTCGCCTGGGCGGCGTGAGCAGCCCCTCCTTCCTATGACGCCTTAGAGGCGGGCGCCTCCTGGCAGGTCTGAGCGAGGCCTTCGACCGATGGCTCTGGCCGGCAGTCGGCTGATGAGTCGACGCTCCTTCTGGGCCCCGAAGTCACGAACTCCTTCCCACGTCAGCTCTCCGCCCCACCTCCCTGAAGGGGCCCAGGGACACACAAATAAATACACGCACAAATAACAGGAGGCCCCATATTTCCCATATTTTCTTGGTTTTTGTTTTTCCCCCCCCCCACGTCCCATATGTTCCCATATTTTCTGGGGGCTCGACGATGAATTGTGTCAGTGTGCTTCTCGGGGGCCCCCAAACGGGGTGGTGACCACACCGTGTGGTGAGTCAGTAGGGGTTCGGGGTCACCGCACGGTTTTGGGACTTGGGTCGTTCTCCGAGGATGTCTCGGGCGGTTGGGACCTCCAGGGTCCCAAAACCGTGCGGTGACGGACCATGCGGTGAGGCCTTTGCGGATTTCGAGGTCGCCGCCGGGTCTGTCACCACACGGTCTTGGGACACCCGAGCTTCTTTCCCTCCTGACTCCCCTCGCGAGGAGCGAGGCCGGAGGATGTGAAGCCCGAGGGCATCCTCGGGCCGTCCTTTTCCCTGGGCGCCCCCGCGGGGCCTCCACAGGGGGGGGGGGGGGCCTCCGGCGGCGGGCCTCCCGCCGAAGGCCTCACAGGGCCCCACTGGGCCGCCGCGGAGGCCTCCGAGGAGAGCCAGGGCGGGGAGGGAGGAGCCAGGGAGGGGAGGGGGGGCAGAGGCGAGGGGGGGCGAAGGGAGGGAGAGAGGGCAGGGGAGAGGAAGACGGGAGAGGAGGAAGGCGCGGGAAGAGGAGGAGGTTTGAGGGTTCGCGGGGCGCCCCCCAGGCACGAGAAGTGCGAGGGAAACCTAAAAACGGCACTGGGGCCAAAGAGAACGAGGGAAGAGGGAGGGTTTCAAGGCTTGTGTGTCCATGACAGCCCTTGCTTAGATTCATAAATCTTGCCGCTATCAACAAATCACCCATGTTGAGATCGCCCAGACAAGAGACCTGCGGGGATACTGTGGCACGGGCATGGGCTAGATTAGCGGCTGCAGGCGCAACTAGCGGCACGACCAGAACATGATGATTCGGCAAAGGCATATCGCGAAGGGTCAGACGAAACGCACACTGAGCAATCGAAACAGCAGAATACTTCGCAAACGCCATACGTGTTCCACACCAAAACAGAATCAACATTTCGGGCACTTGAAGGACATACCAGAAATACGTCGGGGAGCTGACAGGCTGGGAGGATTGTAAGCAGTACATTAAAGAAGCGGGTGGCGTCCAAAGACAAAAGGAGCAATCTGAACACGTCTGGCAGTTTGATACCAGCGCCGAAGAACATCAAAAACGAACTACCCGTCGCGGCGAGCAGACGTGACGTGCAGATACTGAAAGCACTACGGGACTCACCTTAAACCCCGCGGGGGCAAAAGGGGGGTCACAAAAAAAAAAAAAAAAAAAAAAAAATGGACGGCCCGCGACAGGGGGGCGGGTGGGCAACAAACGCAATGCCGCGACCGTTCCCGCGCGCCGTTGCTGGCATTCTTGATCTCGCCGCAACGGGCAAGACATCCTGGCGCCACGGCGCCCAACGTGGGACTCGGAGGCACGCGCTCCCAGGCTTGCAGCCGTCGGCGGACTCGAGCTAGAACTGCTCGCCGACAGGGACCGAACGAAGTCACGAACACCGCCAATGAAGAACAGGAGCGCGCCACTTGAGCCCACGCGCGCCTCGCCCTCTGAACGGTCGGCCAGGGCCCAGCCGCGCGCGAAGCAACTCAGCTCCACCCGGAGGCCGTTCGAAGCCCTGTTGCGGGCACCACTGGGACTCCAGCTCGACGCACTGGATCGCCCCCGCTCGGCGGACGCGGGAAGGGACGTTCGCGGCCCCACCTACGTCGAGGAACTGGGCGCCTGCACGCAGGATCCCGACGAACGCTCCCTAGCGAACATATCCAGCAACCGCGCCGCCCACTTCAACCCCACAGAGGTCAACTCCACACGCGAGGTTGGAGAAATGCACGACGCCCACGCAGCTGGAGAACGCGGCCGCGACGGCCCAGTCACCACCACCGCTGCCTGCGACCACCCCGACAAATCACGCACTTGAGCTGCTCGATGAAACACCCGATTCAAAGCGCCGCGGGCGCGCGGGCGCTGGCCGCGACCGGGCCGCGATGGATTGGGCGCCCCAAATAAAGGCACCACTCGCGATGGCGCGTGCCCCCATAGAGACACGCGTCGACCATCTGTCGCTGCCGTCGCGCTTGAACCGGCTTCCCCGCGCGATTGAGATGGCCGAAACAAAAAACTGGCCGGTCGGGCACGTCAGTAGACGGGCGCCCCCCCCCCCCCCCGCCCAGCAACACCGAAGATTCGTCGAAAGCCTCAGCGTGGAGTCGGCCGCAACGCTCCATGCACACGGGCCAGGCGCCCGTGGTCTCGAAGAGCTTGCGAAGGAAATTGACGCGCGCTCACAGATGGCAGCGTCGCGCATCTCGGCGCGCACCCAGTCGCGTTGCACGCGCTGCATCAACGCAGGCCAAAGTTCAGCGCATCCGCCTCTTCGCGGGCAGGCGTCGACCACGGAGCCAGCCACGACCGGCATCCCGCGCGAGACATCAGACCCGTCGCCCACGCGGCCGACGTCTGAACCACCGGGACATTCGAGGAGGGCGCCCGCGTCCGCAAGGGATGACCAGGTTGACCCCCTCCTTCTGGGCCGCCGTCTGCCGTCGCCATCTGAAAGAAAACACCGCCGCCCGAGTCAGGCTCGCGGCTGGGGCCACTCGGAACGAAAGGAGCGCGATTGCCCGGCGACCGCCCCACGGGCCCTCGATCTCAGAACGGCACCTGGGACGGAGGGGGGGGAGCGGGGCAGGGTCGCGCGCGCCCTCAGGACAGCTCGCCATGGCAATGGGTCTCGCAGGGGGCAGGCTGGGCCCCTCGCGCGCGAAATTGTTTGACTCGAAGCAGAACTAGCTCCAGCTGGTGTCGCGCGGGGCGCGGTGCTGTTCTGACAGCCTGCCCGCCTCCTTCGCTGCGTCCGCGCCTAAGCGAATCTCGCCGGCAGGTGCGCGCGCAAGAGCTAGACTACGCGGCGCGTCGCTGCGTCGCCGAGCATCGCCAGCGCCATCCTGAGGCGCTCTGACAGAGGCGCCTCGAGGAGCAGGTCGACTCCCGCGGCAGACGCGAGCGCCTACGAATAACCAGCGCGCCTGCGAGCCCACCTGGCCCGGGCACCCGAAGAGGCACGGGCGCGTCTGACGCGAAAGTCTGCGCGAGGTGGCCACCTCCGACCAGCTCCCCGGCAGTCGCGCCTGAGCTGCGCGCGCGAAACTTGCGCGGCACCCTCGAAGTCCGCGCCGCGCAGCTACCAAACCAATCCCGCCGAGCACTGGTTCGGGGCTCACGGGGACAGGCGGTCGCGGACGGCGCGCCCCAGCTCGCCCACGAAGAGGAGAGGTCGGAGGCGGCGAGAAAGAAAGCGCCGCGAGCGAATCCGCCTGGCAAGGCGCCCCGCTGCAACGCCCCACGCAAAATCGCGGCGCGCGGCCACCAGCGCGCCCAGAGTGCTAGAGGCCATGCTGAAGGCGACGGTCTCGGAAAGGAAGACGGCGGCCGCTTCCGCGAAGTTCAACGCCAACGCACTTGCCCCCCAGAGCTCGGGCGAGCCGCCCTCGACGTCGACGGGCAGCGCCGCGACCCCGCCGGGCTCCACCGCCACCCCCCTCCGGTGAGTAAGCTACCCACCCTTGTCTCTCACTGCGCCAATGGCCACGCGCATAGCGGAGGCGGGGCTCGGCACCTCCAGAAACGGGATCTGGATCTGGGCCCCGTCGGCGACCCCGAAGTAGATGGCCCTGGCTCCACAATTCGCGGGGCGGCGCTGGATCTCGCGGATGGCCCAGCGAAGCAGCTCGCGGAATACCTTCGCTGCGAGCACCACGAACTACTCCACCGCCACCCGCGCCACAACTGCGCCACCGGCAGCGCCCTGGATTGGCCGACGGCCCCTGGCCCAACCATTATGATGCCTCAATATTTGAGCAGCTCCGCAGAAGTATGTCTGGGGCTCGCTGAGGTTCTCGAGCGCCCTTGAGCTCCCGGGCCATCTTCCCAACGAGATCGCCCCGCAGCGGCGCGAGCATGCACTTCTCGACATTGGAGAGAGCGTGATCCACCGCCGCTTTACTGTGGAAAATTGCCAACCTTTTCATCCGGAACCCGGGCTCCCCCCCCCCCCCCCCCCACCCCCCCCCTCCGAAAATCCCCCCCCCGTGCTGGAACCCCCCCCCCCCCTCCGGCAAAACCCCCCCCTCCCCTAACCCCTCCCCCCCCCCCCCCCCCCCCCCCACCCCCCCCCCCCCCCCCCCCTCCCCCTCGAAAAACCGGGGGGGGTCACTACCGGTTCGCCCCCCCCCCCCTCCCGGATCCGGAAAACCGGGGGGGGTCACTACCGGTTGGACCCACCCCCCCTACTCACCGCCAGCAAACGACTCCCGGTCCCCACCACCGTCCGCATCACATCCCCCACTGGTGTTCC